CCCCAAAACCCCAAAACCCCAAAACCCCAAAACCCCAAGAGGCGCTTAATAATCGAGAAGTTATTAGTAATAAATTATATAAAATGGGTGCTCAATGATGAAAGCGTAAAGTCGTAGTTGCCTCTAAAGACAGCTATACCAATATAAGTAAGATCAAAATCGACCTAAGGCTCATACTTTGGGACTAACTTGAACAAATTAGGGAAAGTCCTTAATCCCTGCTATGAAAAACAATAAAAATCTGTTAAAATTGTACATTAAGTTTTTAAAATTTCCAATAAAGTTTTTGATATTTAAACAGTAATGTTTTACATTGATATCACGGTAAAGAACTGATATATCGAAGGATATAATAATTTTGACCTCCAGTTCATAAATCTTAATTAGTCATCATCCAAGTTTTAGGAATTATAATTTTTAATAAGTTCCCAGCCTAAAATTTTAAGTACCTCTATGTTGATACTTTCTCATATAAAATCTGTGAAGTATTCTAATTTTTACGGTATAGTCGAAAATAGTCAACTGAATCAGGTTTACGCACGGACACAGATGCTTCGAAAATAAGATTGAGAAGTAATTATTCATATACAAAACAAGGTCTAATAAGGCTATTTACACTTAGACATATAAAATGGTCAAAGGACAAAATTATTATGCTTTGTTTCCTTTTGAACAATGTTAGCCTCTAAATTTTCATAAAAATCCTCCTTAAAATCCCGAGGTTGGATCATTCAAATGTAGAAGTGTTGTCTTAGAACTAATTTTAAGAGGCTAAAATAGAAAAATTGGTTAATTAAGACCAAAATGCTCTTGTTGCTTCATACCCTATATCATGATTAGCTTAAAATTTACATATATTGTTTAGAAAATCTACGCTAAACGCACAGATCAGCAATAGCAATGAAAAATCAAACAGAAATTATGGGTCAACAGTGGATAGGTATTTAATTTTTTGAAATTATTCAAAACTTCACCGAAAAGTATGGACTAACTCTTATAGTAACCTGAGATATGAAGGAAGCCTCCAGAGTGAAGAGGAGTGCATCAAGAAGTTAGGTGCCATCCGTAAAACTTACCATTTCCGGTTCAGAGATAGTGGAGCAAAAGAATTAACAAGTCAGTTATCGTTTTTGATCATTTAGAGGATGAGAAAGAAATATTTGAGTATCATAAATTGGAATTATTAGGCCAAGGAGAGATTTCTGATGTATATTGTGCCATAAATCTCACCACTCAAGAGCCATTCGTCATCAAGACTTTTTGAGTAAGTTTGCCAGCTAATAATAGTTTCCGGAAAAAGAAGCTTTACTTTACCACAAGCCGATGAATGAAGCCATAAAATATATGAAGTAACAGTTTTTAATAATTTTATAGGGAGGAACTCAAGGGATACACTGCTTTCTGAGCTTACCACAACTTGTACCTTGATGAGCGTGAGAAAGAGAAGGAGTTAGAAGAAAAGGAATTAGAAGAACAGGAAGAAGCAGAAGGTGAAGAAACCCCAGAGCAAGGAACTTCTCTCAGTCTCACAATGGATTATGTAATATACCACTTGCTTATTAATTAGATCCAAGAATCAATCCAGATATCAGAATCTCTTGAAAATTGAGAAGATTTCAATGAGAAAATAGTTAGGGTAAAAATTTTGATTTTCTAATCATATCTCAATTTAAATAGAGAATTGTTGTAAAAATAATGAAAGCATTGGGGATCCTTCAAAAGAATGGACTTTATCATGGGTAAGCATAAGGGATTGATGTCATAGACGACTAAACTGCAATAATGTCTACATTGATCAAGTAATTTTAATCAATAACACTCTAGAATTGGAATATTATTATGGTTGACTACGGATTAATGAATGCACTCAGAGTAAAATAACCCACTGACAACAGAAGAAGGGATCCGTCTTGATATTCTCGCAATGGGAATCATGATCCTCGACATGTTAGGAATTTCCTTTGGTAAGACACAAAACTCTACCTACACAAAGTTCGCACTAAAATTGATAATAGTACTTTCTGTGAATCTAAATGTGGAAACTGGTGACATGGGTTTTTAATTCAACCTTATGTTCTTGAAAATCATTAACGTGTTAATTCAGGAAGCTTAATCTTACCTTATTCTTTTAGAAAAATTTGATGAAAAAGTCTACAATGAAAAGAAAGTTCCTCCAAACTTGATTAGCTTCCTCGACACATGTTTTGAAGGAAGTATAGAGCTGGAAGATCTTTATATTCATCCTTTTATCCTCTACGATGAGAACGGGGTTGAAGTTTCTCCTGTATCGTCTCACCGTACTCTAAAAGAATCGTAAGCTCTTTGCTTAAAACTCCAGAGATCTTAAAAACCAGGCAAATCTTGGGAAATATTCTTCAGACAATAGTATTCCAGGAATCTCAAAGAAGTTTCTCACCAATGGATCTGTGACCACCACGAACAAGCAGTCTGATGGTGAAAGGGAGAATCAGATTCCTGTTCCTAGAGAGAGCAACTCTAAGAATATATTCTATAAACACTACAGCAAGGGCAGTGAGATCCTCAGGAAGGATGGGCAAAAATATAGCATCGGTAAGATACTCATGGCTTATAAATTTAGTGAGCAATTCTAATGGCGATGAACTCGGCCATTTCTCCTACTATTGTCATGAAGACTCTAAGGGCGAAAAGATAGAATATAGGAACAGCAAACAAATTCATCTGAATGAAGACAAGACAGAGTCTGACCTTGATAGTGTAACCACACCAATCGCTACTTCAGATATGAAGTCTGAGTTTAGGGATAGGTTCCATGATGCCTCTGGAGAGGTTAAGAGGATCACAATGAAGTCCCAAAGACATTTAATTGGAGCTAAGCATAGGAAAACTATGGTGCCTCCTTCTATACAGCAGCTTACAATTTTAGAAGAAGCCTCTATTTCAATGGAGCAATCTCGTGAGGCTGAAAGTGAGTCAGAAAAGGAAGATAAAATAGCAAATAGCTTAATCCCGGCTAATACTCAGATGATAGTACCAAACGAGCAAGGCAATAAGCAATAATTTATATTCAATTTTCTATTAATTATATAATTTTCAACTTAGAATAAGCCCCTGGGGTTTTGGGGTTTTGGGGTTTTGGGGTTTTGGGGTTTTGGGG